GCCGGCATAACCCACCAAATAACAATTGTAGGACTTACCTCTATATTCTTAGATATAGTTTTAATCTATTTTCTATTACTTGAAGCCAACCTTCCTAAGTTTATCACATAAATGAGATGAATATTCAAGAACATAAAAATAAAAATATAACACAAACAAGTAGAGTATTAGTAAAAATTTTGTAGGATTCATACAAGATTACATAACTTAAACCATCATAGGATGCATGCACTTCAACTACTTTTAACTGCTTTGTGCGGGCCGGAAGACTTAAAAGAGAGAGTGAGAGACTATGACTATGGAGGGTTTTGGTTGGGTTTGTAATTGTATCCCACCAATTTAGCAACAAAATCAGGATTTGCTGTTGAGCAATCTCTCTCTAATTATAGGAATAAGATCCTTTTCCAACGCCTTCTTCTATCTTTCTGGCGGTGCCGTTTCCCAATTTCTCTTATTTCTCACTTTGTCTTTCCCTTCTTCGCATCTCCAACTCCAGACACTATAAAACTGATTCCTGAAGTTCGTATGGGCAACCGATAATTGAGTCTTTCTAGAAAAATCTTTGGTGTTAATTATTAATGGAAGATGACAGAGCTACACAGGGGCAGTTTCCAGTGCAGGGACACCCCACACAGCCTTTTAATTCTATGAATTTTGATGAGTTTCTGGTGAAAAATATGATCGCCATCCATGGACATGGTGGAACACAGATGGTACCAGACCCTTCTTCTTCCTCTGCATTCTTTTTCGAGAATCTAGCCAATGTAAATAAGAAGCACGATGAAGCAAGCTTGGAGGATTTTCTAGTCCGGACTGGTCTCATCAACATGGGTGATCATCATCCCCAACCGTTGATTGCACCGGTATGTCAGCATCAACCCAATCATTTGCAGCTACAAATGGGTATTCAGCACCAGCAGCAGGGCATCACGGCGGCCATGGATTCATCATCAGTGGCGGTGTATGAAAATCCGGCAGTGGATGTTGGGTACCCAGAGAACCATTTGGCGGGCGTAACCATGGTGCCAACAATGACAACAACAACAACAACATCATCAGATCGTGCGAGGAAGCGCCGGTATTCCAATATGATGGAGAAGAGTATTGAGAGGAGGCAGAAGAGGATGATTAAGAACCGTGAGTCTGCGGCTAGGTCCAGGGCAAGGAAGCAGGCTTACACCCACCAATTGGAGCAAGAAGTAGATCAGTTGAAGAAAATGAATAGCTGGCTCAAAAAACAGAAGGTACCTCTCCCTTCTCATGGAACAAATTGCAGAACTTCGTGTCTGCTTTAATAGTTTTTATTTTTGTGTCTTTCTTTACAATTATGTTGTTTAACAGGAATTGGAGATGATGGTGTTCTCAGATTCAAGTGATGAGCCCAAATATCAGCTGCGTCGAACAAGTTCAGCTCTATTTTAGCATTTTTTATTTATGGATTATTTGCATTATTTTCTCAGTGTGCGGAAAGAAATTAATTATTCGATGTTATAAGAATTTAAACTTAAATTTTAATTTTTATTTAAAATTTTTAAAGTAATAAGTACTAATTTGACCAATGAGTTAAGTGACTTTAATCACTATTATAAGGTTCATTTTCTTATTTTATAAAACAACAGTTCAAATCGGTCTATACCAAAATGTTTCAAAAAAAAAAAATCTAATTTGACCAACCTTTCATTAGTTGGATTTGCATTTTTTGTCCATAAACTATTCTTTTATAATTCATTTTTCAAATTGGCTCGAAAGGCCGGAACATATATTGTTATTTTTGTTTTTTTGGCCGAACTTAGTAGGTAATTGGACATCATATAGATTAATATTTTTGGTAATTGGACATCATACATATTAATATTTTTGGTTAGATCTTACAATAAAGCTAGAAAAATCAAATTTTAGTAACATCAATTTGCAACATTTATAAAGGTCAACGCAATAGGTTTACAAGTTTGTTCATGCTTTACCTTTTCTATTAAAATATAATTTTTTAAAAAATAATATTTATTGACAACATTTGTAAGTAATGTAATGTAATTATAGTTTTTATTTAATTTTTTATTTGATTTGCTATCATGTTTAACTTGTTATCTAAAATACCATAACTAAATAGGGTTGCGAAAAATCAAAACTGTCTAACAGTTCTAATAAGATTAGAACCATCCATCATGTGGCTCTTAAGTTAGAGTCCACGTGTAGATTACATAATGAATAATTATGATCTTGCTAGTATTACTAGACAGTCCTAACTTTTTGTTGTTTTTTAAAATAAATTGTTATCATTTTCTTTTCTTTTTTTAATTAGTACAATAAATAATAATTCATTATTAAAAGTTATATAATATCACAAAACTTATAAATACTAATTACATCTTTCCTCAAGTAGGAATTAGATTACTACAGGATTCTAACTAACATTAAGAAAAAACATAGATAATAGGTATTCCTAATTTCTTTTGTCTAACACGTTGATGAATTGCATTCCTGGTGGTGAAATTCCATGGACTCCACCAAGAATCAGATCTCAGACGATATACCAACTATTTTTTTTCTCAGCTTTGATGTTGAGTGAAATTCCACACCATCATATTTAGTCTTATTTTATTTTGGACTTAAAAGCGAAAAATGTCTACCTCAGCATATCTCAAAAGGAAAGGATTACAATGACATACTTTAAAAGAACTGAGGGACCAAAATGGAAATAAAAGTGGTTGGAGAAATAAGTTCTTAGACTTGAAGTCTACAGGGACCACAAGCCAAAATAAAGAATAAGCAGATTCTCAACGCGTTGATAGTCCCAAAGATTTTATTTGGAAGTCATGGCTCGACATCGACTTCGTAGTTAACCCATAAATATAGTTTTTTTCTTTGACATTTAGGTCCTTAGTTGATTTTTTTGACTGTTAAGGTCCTTAAATCACGTAATTTAATGATGTACATAATTTAATGATGTGATTGTCTTAAATTAATATTAAGATGAATATAAAGTTATAAATTTATGCCAATAAAAATTTTATCAATTGATTTTTTATTCATTAGTTTTTAGCTCTTAGATAATGACAAAATAACTCACCATTGATTTTGAAAAAAAAAATAAAAAAGTTCATTAAGTCCAGATAATTACCGCACAAATTAGAGAGACAAAGCACTAAACTAAATGGCTAATAGACTAATAAAGCAATAAATCAAGGGCCATATGTAGTTTAAAGACCTACATGTAGTTCAATAGTTATAAACTAAGTTAGGATTCTAAAACGTGAAAAAATGATTAAATTCGGGGTCCATTCAAACGGGTTAGCCAAAAAAAAAGAAGAAAAAACAATACTCTAGCTTTAAAGGTCCGAACGAGTATAAGTTAAAAGCGTTTGCCTAAGAATACCGTGTTGCTCGAGTGGTCCTTATTCATTATTGGTTAAAGAACATCTTATTTTGGATGTGTGGTTCAATTTTTATTTTTTTTTATATTTTTTTGTTGTGGCGGTTGTTGTTATTGCCTAAAAAAACAGTTGGTAAATTGTACCATTGTTTAGGTTTAATATTTTTATTAACAATTTTAACTTTACTAATCTCTAATTATTGTCTTATAAAAAATAATAATAATAATAATAAAAGCGTTTGCCTATTAGCATGAAATAAAAAATTATTATTAAGTAATAATTATGTTTTTTATTTAAAAAAATAAAATTTAATATTTAAAAAATAATTTTTAATTTTTAATATAAAATTAATTAATAAAAATCTAGTAAATGATCTTTATAATTAAAATAGAAAGTAATTTATTTTTCTAAAATAAAAAATAATAATTATTACATAATTAATATTTTTATCAGCTACAAGAGTGATAAACCCTAAGTTAAAATACGATAGGAGGAATACGACTGCAACTTGAGGCAGAAATGGCGAGCGGTGGAAAGGTGTCATTCAAAGTCACTCTTACCTCCGATCCAAAGCTTCCTTTCAAAGTGTTAGTTCGCAACCAATTATCTTTCCCTTTAATTTTCTTTCTCTTGCGTTCATTTTCCGATTCGATATCTTGAAATTTCCAGGTTTAGCGTCCCGGAAGCGGCTCCCTTCACCGCCGTCTTGAAATTCGCGGCCGAGGAGTTCAAAGTCCCTCCTCAAACCAGTGCCATCATCACCAACGGTGAATTACCTATTCTTTCTCTTTTTATTGATTCAATCAAGGGTTTTGCTTTTAATTGTTTGTCCTCTTTGATTTATATTCATCGAGATTTTCCAAGTTGTCATAGATTAAGAATTCAATCCAGAATCTGTAGCATTCAAGGTGAAATTTTGGAATGTTTAGGTGAAACCCAAATTATATTATATTGAATTTTAGAAATGGGTATTCATGGAAGAGGAGATCTCTCATAAAATTTTAGACTGATCTAGTTACAATGTTAAATGTAAGATTTTGAATGTGTATAACTGAATCAAAGAAAAATGCCAATTCTACACGGTCAGTTATCGGAATATCTTCATCCAATCATGGCTGTTACTTGCTAATTTCGTTTAATCAGTTATTTAATTGTTTGTTTTATCTTTATGCAGATGGTGTTGGAATCAATCCTCAACAAAGTGCAGGTATGCAAACACTTTCATTTTGTTTATGAGTTTAAATTTTATGATCCATTTTGTCTTTGAAGTGGGCATCTGCATTTTGATCTTTGTTTGGGGGGCAAAGTCCTGACCAAAGTAAAAGAAGTATAATAGCCTGATATCTTAGTATGAGAATGAGGTGTCTATTCTTGTTATTCCTCTTCTGGTATGTGAGTGAGGTGTCTTTATGATGCAGGGGAAGTATGAGTAGAATAGAGAAATAACAACAGGAGTTAAAATTCATTGTAGAATTGAAGTTGGAACAGAAAACTTAAGAGTTCTCAACCTTCTTGTTTATTCTGAAAATAAAGATACGCTTTGTTCACTATATTTTCCCCAGTCTATGGGCTATGTAAAATCTAACACATCTTAAAAAACTAGTAATAGTAGGTTTACAGTTAACACAAGAAACCTGTACTACTTTTTCATCTTGCTTGGTGCATTGTTAGGTTTTGGTCTATATTACAGTGCCTAATATTGATCCATAAAAATACCTTGCCCCCCACCCACGCTTGGTTCATTGTTAGGTTTTGGCATACTTTTTCATCTTGCTTGGAACACTTTGATTATACTTTGTTTCAGCTGTGACCATAGTGAAGTTTGTTATTCCTTGCATAATGGCAGTCAGATACTAGTCTTCTTTTATCTACCCATGTACATGACTAGTTAAACATAATGGCAAAATTGCTGCTAATGTGTCATTAGAACAATTGAGTATTGTTGTATGTGACATATGTCTTTAATGATCTCAGTTACTTTGACTTTTGCAGGAAATGTCTTCCTTAAGCATGGATCTGAACTTCGCCTGATTCCACGCGACAGGGTTGGAGCTTCCTGAATGTTCTGTGTTATTCAGTTTGGTTCTAAGTTTCATTGAGTTTGATATGAGGGAACAGCTGATTAGCACAAATTTTCAAAGTTGATAGAAAATACTGTATATTTTTTCTCTAATTGTTGATTCCCTGTTAGAACATCAAATAAATAATAACACATAAATTAAGTGAATGGTGTTGAAGGCTTAACAGTCATCTTTCTGTTTGTGTAATAAGTAACCATGAGGAACGACAATGGTGCTGAATGTTATGGATGTGATACCAGCGCTACTGCATCTTCGTTGGTACGATTGACTCAGTGGTAAAAATGTACATGATGTGTGTGTTTTCATTTTAGGAAAATATAGATAGAGATGAGGCGTGTGGGTTAGGCACACGACTCTGCTCGCGGCTGTCTCAGTGGTCAGTAATAAGGATGATGACGCTTGGGATGGGTTAGTTGGGTACGCCGCTTGTTGGGGCAATGCAACTTGGACCAATCGGATCTTTCTCTAGACAAGGTATAGACTA